GACTGGTGTGGGTCGCATCCTGGGTGTTAGTGGACTGGTGTGGGTCGCATCCTGGGTGTTAGTGGACTGGTGTGGGTCGCATCCTGGGTGTTAGTGGACTGGTGTGGGTCGCATCCTGGGTGTTAGTGGACTGGTGTGGGTCGCATCCTGGGTGTTAGTGGACTGGTGTGGGTCGCATCCTGGGTGTTAGTGGACTGGTGTGGGTCGCATCCTGGGTGTTAGTGGACTGGTGTGGGTCGCATCCTGGGTGTTAGTGGACTGGTGTGGGTCGCATCCTGGTGTTAGTGGACTGGTGTGGGTCGCATCCTGGGTGTTAGTGGACTGGTGTGGGTCGCATCCTGGGTGTTAATGGACTGGTGTGGGTCGCATCCTGGGTGTTAGTGGACTGGTGTGGGTCGCATCCTGGGTGTTAGTGGACTGGTGTGGGTCGCATCCTGGGTGTTAATGGACTGGTGTGGGTCGCATCCTGGGTTAGTGGACTGGTGTGGGTCGCATCCTGGGTGTTAGTGGACTGGTGTGGGTCGCATCCTGGGACAAAACTGACCTAATTTGTGGGAAATGCTCAGCATAACAAGCGACTTTCTATATAGTAGTATGTCAGTGATGTCAGCTATGATTTGTATACCTTGCACATGTAGGAATAAAGATATATTAACATATGTATGAGTAATGATATGTGATACCGAGAGTATAAAACACTTGGTGGACAATAGGATACCAAGTATCTAACACTTCTTGGTGGCAGGATGGAGAAAATGTAGTTTAGGGACTAAGGCAAAATGTTGTCTAGCATACTGCAGTACTATAAACCAATTCTAAATTGAGTAATACAAACTTATGAGCAAACTAGTTATGCCAGCACCTGGCACACAAGACTTTAGCTAATTTAAAGTTATTTGGCACAGAACGTAACACCATGGCTATAAGCCAATTAATTTACAATATGATACAAAGGATCACTCATTGTTCATTATAGATGGCTGGAGTAACTCCATTATCTGGACGCAAGACACATTGTTCCACGTGTACTGGTAAGTTAAATACTCATCAATACACATTGGTAAACCTCACGATAAACTGAAAAGAAGGTATGTATATTTCTGCTCCAGTCTCTCCAGCAGAGTTTCTGAGGCTAATACATTACAATCCTTTCCACGATGTTTGATCTTTTTCTGTACAATCGCTATGTTTAGGAATAGACATTTTTCCCAGAGATTTTAAACCCTGGTATCGATATTCCCGCAGTACATTCATAAATTACAATGTTTATACCTCATTATATTTACTCCATGCATTTTTTGTACTACTGGAGAATTTATAATATACTATACATACTTCTGTGCTATTTTTACACATCTAACACACACACACACACACACACTCACACGCACACACACGCGGGCGGGGCCAGGAGCTGAGTCTCGACCCCTGCAACCACAATTAGGTGAGTACACGCACAGTACTGTGTATATTAGGCCCATACTGGAGTATGCAACACCAGTCTGGAACCCACACCTGGTCAAGCACGTCAAGAAGTTAGAGAAAGTACAAAGGTTTGCAACAAGGCTAGTCCCAGAGCTCAGGGGAATGTCGTACGAGGAAAGGTTAAGGGAAATCGGACTGACGACACTGGAGGACAGATACTGCGGGGAATAGACAAGGTGGACAGACACAGGATGTTCCAGAGAGGGGACACAAACAAGGGGTCACAACTGGAAGCTGAAGACTCAGACGAGTCACAGGGACGTTAGGAAGTATTTCTTCAGTCATAGAGTCGTCAGGAAGTGGAATAGCATAGCAAGCGAAGAAGAGGCAGGAACCATACATAGTTTTAAGAAGAGGTATGACAAAGCTCAGGAAGCAGAGAGGGAGAGGACCTAGTAGCGATCAGTGAAGAGGCGGGGCCAGGAGCCGAGTCTCGACCCCTGCAACCACAATTAGGTGAGTACAATTAGGCGAGTACAGTCTTAAGAAGATATAGGATAAAGCTGATGGAGCAGGGGGAGAGGACCTAGTAATGACCAGTGAAGAGGCGGGGCCAGGGGAGCGGTGACTCGACCCCTGCAACCACAAATAGGTAAGAATATATAAGCGAGCGCACCCCCCCCACACACACACACACTTGGGTCAGTTTTAGAACTAAAAAAAAAAATCAGATTTTCAGTACATTATATATAAATAAGGTATAAACACTCCAAAACATCACAATATACACAGCACTTCGGGCAAACTAAACTTACAACTAAATAACAAATGATCACAGAAAAATGGTTTATTGCTAGGCATTAATATTAATTTACACTGCATAGGTAAGAATTATATTGCTAGGCTCCCAAGATAACATGTGATATGAAGACATTGAAATATCGACTATATTGACAATTTTGGTTATAAGAATTATTTGGTGGAAGAACCAAACTGGTGACAACAATGTATGAACATTTATAAGTTCACATTAAATAACATTCACAGGTTATGTGACTTTGTAACAATCCAAAATCAGTAAATTTCTTTGTTTAATCTGAAAGATTTTTCCAGAACTTGCTTGTGAACTACAGGAATAAGACTTACATTCTCAACTGTTAATTGTAGTATTTTATCTTCCATTGCAACAATAATAACTAGTTTTGTAAAGTAAAAGGACACAAGTGCAACTAATGTGACATTTATTGTGGCAACGTTTCGCTCTCCAGGAGCTTTATCAAGCCATTACAAACAATACATGGACACAGAGGGTATATAAAGGCTCAGAGCCTTTATATACCCTCTGTGTCCATGTATTGTTTGTAATTACGTCAACCACTAGTCTTTACCCTCTCCACTGAGAAGATATCACAATCACTGGGGAGGGGGAGGATAAACCCGTAGGGGTCAAACAGCACCTGGAAAGCAATCAAGTTTGATCCAAGGAAGACATCACGTCTAATTCATTGGATCAAGAGCCCCTCATTGTCATCAAGGAACCTCCTTTATTTCGTCTTAACACTCTTGAGATACCAAGTTTCTTGAGTAACATGCAGCATCTTACAACCCTCTGTTAGATTACTTGGGTTCAACACCTCGTTCATTGTTCACATACTTGGGTTCAACACCTCGTTCATTGTTCACATACTTGGGTTCAACACCTCGTTCATTGTTCACATACTTGGGTTCAACACCTCGTTCTTTGGGTTCCCACATACTTGGGTTCAAACACCTCGTTTCATTGTTCACATACTTGGGTTCAACACCTCGTTCATTGTTCACATACTTGGGTTCAACACCTCGTTCATTGTTCACATACTTGGGTTCAACACCTCGTTCACTGTTCACATACTTGGGTAAGAACTCAGATGTTGGGAGGTCAGGTCCCTCTCAAATCCAGCCGTTCTCACTAGTAGAGGTTGTCGAAGTTGATTGTAGGTCTGTACCAACCTCTACTAGTGAGAACGGCGGGATTTGGGGAGGGACCGACCCCCCAAACATCTGAGTTTTTACCTCTTCTAGTGACCTACGTCTCACCTCTTGGCGCTATATAAGGCTCCATCCTGTCACTCCATCTCTATATTGTTTCATACTATGGAACAATGCTCTTCTCCAGACTGAGGGACTGACCACCTCAAAACTTTAAGGGTGATGGACTGATTACATCGTCTTCAAGTATCTTCTGCTTTTATCAAATTTTCTGTACTCGACTGAAGAAGCCTACTGTGTAGGCGAAACGTTTCGAAATAAAGATACCTAACTGTTGCATATGTGTCTTACCTAACAACCTGTCGGTATTTTATACCATTTTAATGTTCACCTCGTTCATTGTTCACATACTTGGGTTCAACACCTCGTTCATTGTTCACATACTTGGGTTCAACACCTCGTTCATTGTTCCATACTTGGGTTTTAACACCTCGTTCATTGTTCACATACTTGGGTTCAACACCTCGTTCATTGTTCACATACTTGGGTTCAACACCTCGTTCATTGTTCACATACTTGGGTTCAACACCTCGTTCACTGTTCAACCATAGACACGTCTCATATTCTACCTGTGTTCTCATCTTTGTTTTGATACAGTGGTTGTAACCAATGTTACATTCATTCAGAAGCATCAACTTCTTATATGTTAGTTAACATTTAAATGTCACAGATAATTCATGTCCAAATGCTTTTCCATTTATTTAAGGGTAGGTTTGTTTCTAGTATATAACTATATTACATGAAGCAGTCAACCCGTGTATGAGATTCAGCGCAAGGAGAGGTGGAGGCTCGATCCTTCGTATTCTTAACTCAAAGTAAAGGAGCAGCACATGTTCACCTTGTACAATGAGCTGAGTTAAGCTTCCCAGGTTAATGTCTTCATGGAGTTGAGTCTGTTAATACCTTAAATCAAGAACCAGTTTAATTCTTGATTCAAGGTATTACCAGACAGGTATTATATATTAGTTCTAAATGATGTTTGATACAAAGTACACTTCTTCACATCAGTGGAGATAAAAGTTGGATCATTACTGGAGGGAGGCTGCTGCTTTAGCGAGTGATAGGGAGAGTCTTGCAAGCAATAAAATCCCTAAACTTTAAGTGCTCACTTGTGTCCATGTTTCAGTCTTTTTCACTGAGACTGAATATCTATTTCTTTGTATTACATGAAAGATCTTGCATTATAACGGGTTTTAGATAAATGACTCGATGATATTGTAGGCCTTAAAAATATCGAAGTAGAGCATCACTGCAGTTGTAAATCATCTATACGGATCGTCGGAAGATTAGACTCGTACTAGGACATTTGTCCGGCGAATATTATACACACTGCTGAGGTGAATCCTCGCTCCATCTGTTGTCAGGTTGTGGTTTTTACACCAACGATGAGCACAATAAAGGTCAGAGATTCTAATGACAGGCTTTGTGTGTGTGGAAAGAGATAGGGCCGTACACCAGAACATTTTTCTTAAGATAGACCAAGCCTTTAGCCATTTAGTGAGGTAGCACCGAGAGAGGGGGAACTATATTAAATAAGAGGCACTAACCTGCCCTTATTCCAGCCATGAATAAGTGCCCGGGCCAGGCGGATGAGCAAGCGGGAGAAAGAGTAGTAGTTAGTTACGGCAGGCACCAGCACACAGCTGTACACCAGCACCAGGGCCCCTACTGGTGCCACGCCCCACTCAGGCACCAGCAGCGGTGCCAGCAACACCACCGACAGCAGACAACCTGTGGCACACGCACACATGAACATAAGCATGGAGAAACACTGCAGAAGGCTTAATGGTCCATGATAGACAGGTCTTTTCCAAATCCAACCTTTGCACAATACTTCATCATTTTTGTCTGTGGGGAAGTGCTAGACTAGTAGTATAAAGCCTTTGGGCTAACAGTTGCGTTGCAGAAGTCTGAGCTGTGCTCAGACCTCTGCAACGCTATTGTCATCAAAGATTTGTTAAGTTATACCAGGAATTAAGGAAGGATCCTGGACTTCACCTTACGAAACAGACAAAGCAAATGTGATAGTAATTATGGATAAGGTAGATTATAGGGAAAAATGAACATATTAGAAGACGGGGGTACTTACGTGCCCCCTTAAAATTTAGAGCCAGAGAGAGAGAGAGAGAAAGAGAGAGAGAGAGAGAGAGAGAGGAAGAGAGAGAAGAGAGAGAGAAGAGAGAGAAGAGAAAAGAGAGAGAGATCGCTATCAAAAAGCAGTGTCTAAACCTGCAGTAACCGTGTCTGACCTCCTGCTGGAATACAACAGCACGCCATCGCCTGGGTTGCGATAAGGTGAGGGCAGTGGCATCACTCTTCAAGCATGCCCACCATCCCTGCTACCACTTCCACCCTCCACTTTGCCTCCCCACTCACCTGAGGAATATGTAAACATATGCTACACACACACACTCAGTGGTCCTTTCTTAGGTCCCGCCTGTACACCTGCTCTTAATGCAAATATATAATAGGCTAATCACTTGGCAGCACCTCAGTGCCTCAAGGCATGAAGACAAGGTCAAAAGATTTAGTTATTGTTGGGACCAAACATCAAATGGGAAAGAAATGTGATTAATAAGAACAAAGAAAGAAGGAACACTGTAGCAGGCCTACTGGCCAATGCGAGGCAGGTCCAAGTCTCCTACTGGCTTAAGCCAATGCCCCAACCTAGTCGGGTTAGGTCACATTCACTTAAGGAAGGAGCACGGCATCTGACCTAGTAGCACAAGCTAGTCAAATCTACGACTTTAATGGTGATGGACTTATTACATCGTCTTCACATCTCTACTGCTCCTGCCTACTTTTGTACCCGACTGAAGAAGCCTACTGTTGGTCCCGTCGACGAATATTAGCCTGTGTACTTTGCTTCACCTTAACAATACATTATGTAAATACTCCATTATTTAGTGAGCTAGCAATGGATACAGTTAAATTTTGGGCTAATGGAAAAAACGCTCTTTTTGTAAACCCAGAAAAAAAAACCCTAATACAATATACGAAATTTAAATTTTATTCTCTCTTAGGCATTAAAAATTCTTGATATTACCTTGTTCAAATAAACAAAACTCCCGCGGTACAGTCCCTGGACCCATTATGTACCTCTGTTAATCTTTTGACTACCCCCCACAGGGCGGGTATGGGAAAATAAAGATATAAAGCAAACTATTACACAGACTTTTCAAAAGCTTTCGACAAGTGTGGCCATGGTGTAATAGCACACAAAATGTGTGATAAAGGAATAACACGAAAAGGTGGTAATGGATCTATAACTTCCTGACAAATAGAACACAAAGAATAATAGTAAACAGTAAAGTCTGAGGCGGCTACTGTGAAAAGCGCTGTTCCACAAGGCACAGTACTCGCCCCCATTCTATTCCTCATCCTCATACTGACAGAGTGTCTACGTCTTCCTTTGCGGATGACACCCGATTACCATGACAGTGTCCGCCATCGAAGACACCACAAGATTTCAAGCGGACATCAACCAAACTTCAAATGGGGCCCCTCGAAACAATATGAAATTCATGAAGAGAAATTTCCCAAATACTCAGATATGAAAAACTCGAGGAAATTAAAACTGTATCAGGGTATACCACAAATTCTAACCATACAATAAGCGAAAAAGTAATGTGAAGGACCTGGGGGTGATAATTCAGAGAACCTCGCCTTCAAAGACCACAGCAATGTATCCACCGCATCTGCCAGGGAAAAAAGAAGGATGGGGTAATGAGAACCTTCAAAAAAGGGACCCGC